TACAGCATCAGCATCCTATATGGGCACCAGTTCGAGTCCCAGCTGCTCTACTTCCAATCCAGCTCCCTGCGGCTGCACCTGAGAAACCAGTGGGGGATGGCCCAGGTGCTTGGGCCCCTACACTCATATAGGAGACCCAGAAGCTACTGGCTCCTGGCTTTGGATCAGCCGAGCTCCAGCCTTTGCAGCCATCTGAGCAGTGAACCAATGGGTGGAAGACCTGCCTCTCCTTCTCTCTGTAACTATTTCAAATAAAAAATATTTTTAAAAAGTCAATTTGAATGTACATATTTTTAGCTTTATATTCTCTACACAACTGATCCAGAACCATTGTAGAATAACTTCCCCTCCTTAAGATTTATTATGAATGTAAGCCCCAAATTTGTACATGATCACATCTGCAATTTTGTTTGATTTCCAATCTTTTTTTCTTACGATATCTCATGGGAATATAATCTTTATTTTTCACTATAATACTTGGCAACTCAGTCAACTCATTATTTGAACTTATTTTATATTTCTTCCTTTGGAAAGATAGGAACACCTCAGTGCTGGAAATCTACCTGAATTTTGAAAAGGTCTCAATTCAGCTTCATCATTGTCTTCATCTCTAAAAATGTAATTTAGTGTTCCATAACTGGAAGCAGATTGATAGACTTTCATAGTATATGTTAAGTCCCTATAGAGGCCTAAACGTGATTTTTATAAAGAAATTCTTAGTGGTATTACGTTCATATGTGCACACATTATCTATCTCCTTCAATCCCATGATTTGGAGAATAATAGTGGATGTGAAAATGTTCCAATCCTCTTGATTATGGTAGGGTAGAAGAGAGAAGACAGAGAGAAAGCAAAAATTTGCTAAAAGCATCTTTTTGGTGATAGAGATGAAGTAGGACAAAAAGGGACATTTTATTGTGGGAAAAAGTATTATTGTTAGGGGTATTTTATCTTTATTGCAAATTGAAAATTTAGGGGCAGGCGTTGTGGTACAGCGCATTAAGCCTCCACATGTGATGCTGACATTTCTTATGAAAGTGCTAGTTTGAGTCCCAGATGCTTCACTTCCAATCCAGCTCTATGCTGGTGCACCTGGGGAAAGCAGTGAAGTACATGGGCCCTGCCACGCATGTGGGAGACCTGGATGGATTTCCAATCTCCTCAGTTTAGCCTGGCCTAGCCCCAGCCATTGCAGTCATTTGGGGAGTAAACCCGTGGATGGAAGATTTCTCTTTCTGCCACCTTGACTTGCAAATCAATCAATGAATCAATAAAAGAAAATCTAAAATTTGACAGGGAAAAAAAGAAATTCCCCTGTGTTACTTGTGAGAACGTAACTTGCAAACAGGTTCTCTGGAGTGAGATTTTGATAGGTCAAAATAGTTCAACTGCTATATGAACTTTGATCTATACATTAGTTTTAGGAATATATATCCAAGGCTGTTACAGAAAATGTGTTTGCTTCTAATGTTAGTCAATATGTAGTCCTCCACTCAGGTTTCAGGGTGGATACTACTGCAGCTTTTAGCTGAAGGCCCAAATTAGCAGGCTTGCTATATCCTTAGGTAGAAGAACATGGTTGTTAAATTCTAAATGTTCTACTTTTCATCATGTGACCATATGCTCTCAGCTGCCTTAAAACCCAGAGAAACAATCACAGCAGGAAAGAAGAGGTTCCAGAATGAGCCTGCATGTGGCAGGGCATCAACAGTCACCGGCTAAGGGAAGGCAGGCAATTGGAATTAGGGTAGGGACTCAATGAAGTGACAGCTAGGGACAGAAGGGATTTGCTGACTGTAGAGGGACCAGAAAGAGTGTGGATGAAGAGGACTCGGTAATGAGTAGGAGAAAGTGGGGCAACCATCAAGAGGATCCAAAGGGGCAGAACACAGGGCAAAGAAGGAACTCAATTCTGGGCCCGCAATGCTGGAATCAAGCCAGGCAGCCTTCTGTGAACCGCATTCCTCATCATTTCAAGGTCAGGGATAGCTCATACACACAAACACAGATTCCAGGTATTTTCAGTACAGGGTCTGTGATGAGCTGCTGTGGCGGTAAGACAGAAACCCAATTACCCTTAATGTGTTTTGACTGTTCTGTAGTATTCATTACTGTTTGAGTGCAACCATTTCCCCATGCCATTAAGTGTTTGGAGATCATAATGACCTTTCATTTGACTTATTTTATTTTATTGGATGTATGTTCTTACTGATCTTTGTCCTTTGCATATCGATAAATTTGTTCTTTCCGACTTCAGGCTCACTGCTGCTCAGAACTCCCTGTTGCAGCACCCAAATAATCTTCATACTCCCACCGATGGAATACAAAGCAATGTCTCAATACCTATAGAGGTAGGCAGGTCATCAGACCCCTGCAGAAGACTGTGTAAGAAGCAACTCTGCATTCAAGAGTTTAGTCCTCAATCCCTCATCCAACTCCTTTAGCTCCCTCCAGTGCCTAGTGGACAAATAGATCAGGGACACACACAAAGGGTCACTTTTGAATCCCCTTCCTTACTCAATTTTTGCTTTAGGGGTCTGTGCACAGGAGTATACTTAGGCCACAGGGGTTAAGGGGGAAGTGAAGCCTTTAGGACATTCTACCACAATTCCCCTGAGACCCATGTTGCCAGGAAAATGGACCATCCAAAGTCCATTTTGTTCCCATATTAAATTCTTGTAAATTTGAGTGGCATGACATTTATGTAATATTATCTTAGTTACGTGCTCCAAGTCATTGCTGGTCTCAATCACCAAAAATAGTTAATTGCATCTTTCTCTTCGCTTTATTACTTTCACCTGCCATACTATCAGTCTTCATGTTTCTACATCCTTCTGAGATAAAGTTTTTAGATTTGGTATTGAGTAGTCTGTGGATAATGAAGTGAAGGAAACAAATTAAGAATGGCAACTGCAAAGTGAAACTGTAAAATAAGGAAAAAGAACTTTCCCTTAGAAATGTCATTCCTTTTGTCCATTTATGGACTTTTGCTAACATATACATGACTGATTTTCATGAATCATTGTCCTCCCAAAGACATTTGCAGTTCAAAAGAGGATTTGCAGCGATAGTACTAAGGTAGACCAAGGAACAAGAGGAATAAAACTGTAGGGGCATCATTATGTGGAGAATAATGGGTTACTAGCATAGCTTAATGGATACATAGCAGGTCCCCAGCCAATTCTATTTACTTTTAGAGCCAGGTGGACACAGATAGGGGGAATATGCAGGACTTACCGGGCAATGTAAACTGCTTCCAAACACTTTCAACACCACCTCATTAGAATCTACTTTAAAGCCAAACATCAAATATACTTAACACAGTTGTCCTTTATTCACATCAAGGTGGTCTGACTAATGAGAACCTTGAATTGGCTCTCATAACGAACCTGATTCTCATTGTTTTATCAGCCCCATAAATCATAAAAAACTTCACTTTGTTAAGAAATCTCAGTTTTCTCGGATTTTTAGAAAGACCTTGACATGTCAAACTGTGAGTTAATGATGTTTCCAGGTTTCTGGGAATAAAAAAAATATCACATATAAAACACAGCCAAATAATGTACCTTCAAGCTCTACATACAACCCTACAAATGACTGCACATGAATGACAGAATTTTACCTTATTTACCTTATTGTTTGTCAATTAGACAAACAATAAAATGTAAAACACCTCTTGGGCATTATTCTACATTCATATGGTTTGGAAAAGCACACACACTAGAAGTGAGGATGAGAGCAGATTCAGTGTTACCTTATCAGCCCACTTCAGGAACATCTGATTCTGTTGGGATATTTAACTTTTCCCAGAGACAGATGAGGTAACAAAGACTTTTCAGGAGAGTAAACCTAAGAGATTAGCATGTATAGAAACAGGTAGGTATAATTTTTTCTCCATCTTAAGGAAACCTAAAATTGTACTATTCTGCAGATTACAAACCAAATTTCTACCTACATTAACAATATGCCTGGGAAAGCAGTGGAAGATGGCCAAAGTACTTGGGCACTGCACCCACATGGGAGACCTGGATGAAATTCCTGGCTCCTGGCTTCGACCTAGCCCAGCCCTGGCCAATGTGGCCAATTGGGAGTGTAAACCACTGCTTTTGCTTCTCTGTAACTGCCTTTCAAATAAATAAATAAACAAATCTTTAAAATAAAAAAGAGGCTACCTGGTTGAACTTTCAAATCACCTTTGGCCATAAATGAGGTACACATCAATTTCCAAAGAGGCTTACAACATTTCTAACAGGTTTAGAGAGTTCAGCAGCTGGGATTGAATGGTCACCAGTGAGGTCTCCATTCCCAGGACAACCAGAGGACTCGATGTAAAGGCCATATGAACCATCGAATGTCAGCGCATATGGATTTGTTTTAAGACTTCTTTATTATTTTATTTATTTGAAGGGAAGAGTGATAGAAAAGCAGACAGAGGGAAAGAGAGAACTTTCATCTGCTGGTCCACTTCTCAAATGGCTGGGCCAGGAGAAAGCCAAGAGCCAGGAACTCTACCCAGTCTCCCACACAGGTGGCGAGGCCCAAGCACTTGGGCCATTTTTTCTTGCGTTCCCAAGCACATGAACAGGAAGCTGGATGGCAAGAGAAGGTGGGGTTCCAACCAGAACCCCAGTATGGGATGGCAGAATTACAACTATGCCATGCAGTCTCAAATGTGGTTTTGAAGAAAATATGGACCGATTTGGCAAGATCACACAAGGAAAGGTGGCACACTCAGTGAACGCAGTTTCTTATTGGACAGGGTCTGACATTTATTGAAAGAATGGAAAGACTTCTGTACAGGTAGTGTAAAAGAGCCGCGAAGACCAAAGGGGTAATATTTTGGTACCCAAGACATACATTAGAGACACAGTCTTCACGTTCGAGAAGAACTGGGACTCGGGGGGGTGGGGAGAACTACTGTCATGTCCACGTGAGGACATGACAGCTGAGATTGGGCGCCAAGCCCCTCAAGGTGTCTCTGGGAGGAGAGGGGCGCGGCCTCACTCATGGTGGGAGGCCGGCTGGCCCGTCCGGGCAGCCGGCTCTCCGCAGTCGGGGTCCGAGGGCCGCTGCCAGCCCAGACCCCTCGGAGGGGAGTCCAGGTGGCTCAGAATAGCAGTCTGTCGGCTGGAGGCCGGGGGCGGCGGCGGCGGCGGCGGCGGCAGTGCAGGTGCGTGGGCAGAGCGATGCGGGCTGGCGGGGGGCGGCCGGCGGTGCGTGGTTGGTCGTCGGCCGCGCGGCGGGGGCCCAGCCTGCAGCCCGAGGGCCGGACGGCGGCCCCCGGTGCAGGGCACAGGCCGGGCCGGCGGCAGCGGGCAGGGCGGCGGCGCTGTCCAGAGCCAGGCCCAGAGGCAGCAGCGCCAGCCTGGAGCGCTATTCCTGGAACAAAGGCAAGCACGACGCGGGCGGGCGGGCGGGGGCGAGGGGACGCCGCGGCGACTCGGGGAGCAGGGGGGCGGCGGGACTCGACTCGGGCGCGAGCGCGGCGGGGGCCGCCCGCGGCGACCCTGGCGGCGGCCGGCGGGCAGCCCACCCTCCCCAGGGCAGCCGGCCCCGGGGCAGAGGCTCCGGCGGCCTAGAAGTCCCTCGTCCTCCTCCCAGCCAAAGACGCCCTTCATCTCGGCCAGAAAAGCCCCGGTAATCACTGAGGAGGGGACTGTCCTTCTTGATGTAGGGGATCACCCACTGCAGGGCGGGCCCCGTGAGGCGGGTGATGAGGAACGTCACCTTGAGCGCGTCGCTGGAGAACGTCTTCTCGTCCACGAACATGTAGGAGCCCGTCTGCACGATGAACTCCGGCAGCCGGTCGGTGTCGCCGTCAAACGTCTCGGGAAAGGGGATCGGGTTCCTCCAGCGACGTGTCGCCGGCCGGATCGGCAGGGCCAGCAGGGCCTTTATCAGCTGCACCCGACCGTCCATTTCGCCTTGCTTGCTCTGCTGGGCTTTGCTGGCTCTGCAGGGCTGTGCAGAGGTCAGCAAGCAAGGAGGCGTCCCCGGAAGTGCGTTTCCACGGAGGCGGGTCTAGGCCCAGGGTGGGCAGGGCCAGGGCGGGGCTTATTCACTTCAGTAGCTTTTGCTTGCAAATCTGAATGGTCACTAGTCCGCAGATGCGTCTCGCGCTAGGGCAGGGAAAGTGGGAACGGGGGTGGGTGGGTGTTGAGGGGGCGGGCCAAATACCCTGAAGGAGGCGGGGTCGTAATTGAAGGATGGGCCTGAGTTTTCCCAGGGGGACTGCAGAGGCGGAGCGGGGATGGGGGATGAGCCCAGGAGATTTGGGATTGAGTGTTGAAGGCGAGTTCGCTAATCTGCGACAGCAGATTTCAAGTTCTGAAAGTTGATGAGTCCTCTTGCTGCCCTCCTCCACGTCCCCCCCCTCATCTTTTTCTTGGGTATTTCTAGGCAGACCCTTGGCTCCGGATGCCTAGAATGCAGTTCTGGGATACTGCTTCTTCATGTATCTTTCAGCCAGAGAAGAAATGGCTCCCTGGCAGCAGATATGGTGGTTTTGCAGTATCAACAGGAGGGCCCCCAATGTGAGCAAATATCGTCCAGGACAGAATATTAAAATAATAAAGCACCATGAGCAATTAATATAAGGCAGGTTAAATGTTAAGAAATCTCAATTTATTATAAATGCTAACCATAATTGTTACCTATTTTGCTGATCCATAGGCAATTCACGACATTGCTGCTAGCTCTAAGGCTTGCAGGAGAGATACAGTGATTCTGCTTGCAAAATGCAGTCATGTATAATGTAACATAATCATTACAATAACAGATCACCACCTTTTTCATATTGTATTGTTTAGAAGCCAATTGCATTCCCCATTAACCACTTAGGCATTAAGAGGGCAACATCCGAGGAACATCTGAGCAACCCCTGAGAGAGCTGGCCAGCGGTGTGCTGCTCCTCCGCGGAAGTGGGGAAAGCGGCGGGGGTGCCGCCCCTCTGCGGAGGCGGGGGGGGGGGGGGGGGACGGCAGCTAACCTGGAAGGGCAGCAAACCCGGGAAGGGCCGAGCAGACAAAAGAACAGCGCAGGGTCTGGTGTCGTTCCTCCGCGAATTAGGGAGCGACATAATGGGATGGAGGCCACTTGGAGTCCGTTTGCTACAGTATGGCCATGCCACAGTTGGTAATTTAGCCGCCTTTTGAAGGGCATTCTGCATGTTTCCATGTTTTGGCAATTACAAATGAATCAGCTATAAACAATCATGTAAAAATATTTGCATGAGCATATTTTCACTTCTCTAGGGTAAATACCTACAAGAAGGATTTCTGTGTCACATGATTCAAAAAAGAACTGTCATTCAACCAGGAGTAGAAGGGAACTCCTAAATCTGATTAAAGGCATCTATAAAAATAATCCCGTACAGCTAACATCACAGTTAAACTGGGGAAACTAGAATATTTCTCACCGTCAGTTCAAGAGTAAGGCAAGTAAGTACACTCTAAACACTTCTAGGCAGTGAAGTTAGGAAAAAGCAAGTAGGTAAAGGAAAAAGAAATAAAAGTTTGGACTGCAAGAAGGAAAGCACTTGTTATTTGTGGACAACATGATCTCTAAATAGAAAATGGATTCTTGAAATATGTTCATTGGTGTACTCCTTTCTGCCCAAGGATGCCACTGAGGAAGCATTATCAAAATCTCTCTCACTGCTGCTGTCATGTCTAAGCCATAGTCCCCTAAAAAGCTGGAACAGCTTTGGAAGCTCTCCATCAGAGGGTTGAGCTCTAAAACAACTGATGAGAGTCTGACGAGCCATTTTGAGCAATGGTGACCGTGTGGTAATGAGGTCAAACTCCACAGGTTCCAGGAACTGTCATCTATGCCACCATGAAGGAGGTGGTGGCAGCTATGACTTAAAGACCACACAAGGTGGATGGAAGAACTGTGGAACCAAAAATGGCTGTCTCAAGCCTCTCAAAGATGGGGGAGGGGGCACCTAACTGTGAAAAAGATCTTTTGTCATCGCATTAAAGAAGACACTGAAGAACATCCCCTCAGAGATGATTTTGAACAGTGTGGGGAAATCGAGGTAATTGAGATCATGACTGATTGATGCAGTGGCAAGAAGAGGGGTTTTGCTTTTGTGGCCTTGGATGACCACGACCCTGTGGATAAGACTGTCGTTCAGAAATACTGTGCTGTGAATGGTCAGAACTGTGAAGTGAGGGAAGCTCTGTCCAAGCGAGAGATGGTTAGTACGCTTCACTTACCCAAAGCAGATGAATTGTTCTGAATATCTAGTGATCATGTTGTTGTTTCTTGCATGGACCTTGTCATGAGGATTGCAGGGTGGGGCCTGGTACTTAATGTGTGATGTGCATGATGGTCATGTTGTACTGAAGATTCAGTTTTCATTGTGGCCATAAAAATGATAACGATGAAAGCAATTTTCGAGGTGGTGGAAGCTACAGTGATTTTGGCAATTACAATATCAATATTCAAATTTTGAACGTATAAAGGGAGGAAAATTTGTAGGCAGAAGCTCCAGCCCCTACAGTGGTGGTGGCTGATATTTTGCCAAACCACAAAATCAAGGTGGCTATAGTGGTTCCAGCAGCAGCAGCAGCAGCAGCAGTAGCTTTGGCAGAGGCAGAAGTTTTACTAACTTCCAGGACACAAACCTTAACCAGAGAGTAGAACCAGATAAGTGGTAGGCAAGTTTTGGATTACAACAGATTTGTGAACTCAGCCAAACACACTGGTGGCAGTGCCTACCTGCTACAAATAAGACATGTTTTTGACAATACTCGTATGTATGGGCTAAAAACTTGAGAGTTGTAATTGTGACTAATTGTACACCAGGACATTTTATTTCTCTTTTATGGGAAGTGTAAAGCATTTGAAAAAAGTTTTAATATAGACTTTTTCTTTTCTTCTTTTTTTTTGAACCCATACTATTGATTGCTAAATTTAGTAGTCTTATTATGACACCAAGTAAATGATAAGTATCTTTAAAAAAATAAGTTATGTAATGTTAGCCTATTCTGAAGCCATCTAGGAAAATTCCTATGAAGTTAGAATTATTCAGGGTGATGCCAGGTTCCATTTGAAATTTATTGACAAACTGCTTGGGTAGAAAGTCATTGTCCTCGGATATTGACAGTTACTGTTGTGATCTTCTGAAATTCACCATTAAAGAATGTCACCCAAGGAAAGTCATGGGATTATTTGGTGATAAAAGTTATTGTTGGCACACCCAATGCAATGTATCTCAACTGAATATTGGTCCAGATAAAATTACTGTTGGAAATGAAGCTTGTGTGTAATCCATTATCATACGTAATCAATAAACAATTCAATTCTCTTGCATGAAAAGAAGAAAACCAAATTCTCTGGGACCTGAGGCCACCTCTGTGGTGTGACAGGTAAAGCTGCCACCTGCAGTGCCAGCATCCCATATGGGCACTGGTTCAAATCCCAGCTGCTCCTCTTCTGATCCAGGTCTCTACTGATGTTCCTGGGAAAGCAGTGGAAAACGGCCCAAATCCTTGGGCCCCTGCATCTATGTGGGAGACCCAGAAGAGGCTCCTAGCTCCTGGCTTCAGATTAGCCCAGCTCCGGCTGTTGTGGCCATTTGGGGAGTGAACTAGTGGGTGGAAGATCTCTCTCTCTCTCCCCCCTACCCCGCCTCTGCCTCTCTGTAACTATGCCTTTTAGATAAATAAATAAATATTTTTAAAAAAGGTATAAAATTAAAATTAGCTAAATCAGACTTCAACAAGTTAAAAAGCTTGCATTCATCAAAACACACTGTTAAAGATTGAAAAGACAAGGCACAGGATAGGAGAAAATCTTGGCCAAATCGCGTATCTAACAAAGACTTGAATACAGGATATGTATCAAACTCTCATAACCTGACAATAAAAAAGTAAACAATCTGATTATAAAAGGGAAAACTATTTAAACACAAAGTTCACTAGAAAAGATAAATGGGGGTATATGCTTTTCCTTAGCATTGAAGAAACCACTTGGGATGCCTGTGGCCAACATGGCAGTGACAGGATCCAGTTGTTGGCTCTGATTCCTTATTCCAGTTTCATGTTAATGCAGACCCTGGGAGACAGCGGTAATGGTTCAAATAGTTGGGTTCCTGTCACCCATGTGGGAGACTTGGATTGTGTTCCTGATTCCTGGCTTTACACCCCACTCCCCTGGCAACACTGTGGGCATTTGGGGAATGAAACAGTGGATGGGAACTCTCTATCTCTCCTTCTCAAATAACAAAAGTTTTAAAAATAACAATTCAAGGTAAATAAGCTCACCAAGAGATGTCGACATTATTACTAAGTAATGAATTGTAAATTACTTCACATTTATTACAATGGCTAAAGTAACACAGAAAAAAGCTAACAACCAAAATGAGAACAAGATCACATATGAGAACAAAAGGATGCTTTGAAAAATTTATGGAAAATGGAATTATAATATATCTATTTTGGTGCAGAAATTTTTTGAAATCCATTTTTTCATAATATATATTTTTATGAACTTTTAGAAGACCCCAGTTCTGCATGGATTTCAAATTATTTTTGCACCACAATAAAATTATCTTTTAATTCTATTTCTCATAGATTTTTGAAGCACATTTGTACTAAGTGCCATTCAGTTTCTGGAGTTACACTCTCTCACATACTGCTTTTAGGAATACAGAATGTTATAGCCATGTTGGAAAACAGTTGCTGCAGCTTATAAGGTTCCTTCATGCAACTTTTACACTATAATGTTTCTTACCCTAAATAACCATTATTCTGAATTCTATTAAGATTTAGATAATCTATACTATTTTGTATTCACATCTTGTACAAAATATAATATCTGTAGCATTAATCCATGGCTGCTATACTAATATAGAATTCCAATGTGTGAACATGTCATAATTTATCCATTTGCTTAATCTAGAAATGTATTAAAAAGATAATATATCATGATTAAATGAAGCTTATCTCAGGAATGCAAGGTTGCTTTATCAATCAAAACTCAGACAACAAGTAATAACTGAAGTGATTGGGT